TCTCATCAATTCCTGTATATGATATCGAAAGGAAAATGTGGAAGGATTCTGTTTTTAGTATTCTAGTTTTAGATGGAAATGGGATTTCTAGTGGATTTTCTAAAATATTCTACTTTTTGGAAAAATAACTTAACTCATAATAAAATAAAAATAAATAAGAGTAAAACATTATATATTGATACAGCATTTTGTACACGATATATGTTTGTATAATTCATCTATTTGTGGTTAACATTACAGTCCAAAAATCCACAAGAAAGATATATTAATAATATTTATCGACGAATAAACTCCGCCGTCTACTTAAAATTCCTTTTTTTAACACGGCGAGAGAGAGACCTGTCTTTGAAATATTAAAAAATACTCTCTCATCCTGACATTTTTCTACATTTAAATAAACGATATAATTCGTAATCGTGTGTTGCAGATGTACAGTAAAATACAATATACATGTATATCCTAAAAACGGTAATGTACTTTGGCTCAAGATTTCATGCCTACGGAAATTCGTATATCCACGCGTTTGGCTCTTGATTTATAACGTTAATCCTATTTCACAAAGCACTTTACGAATCACCAATGCCCGTACAAACAAATCGCCAGCGACGCATTCAGTTCATTTATACGAGTCGATTTTAATTATCTAGATTCCTTTCAAGTTCGATAAAGAGTACTCAAATAAAAGAGTTGATCTTTATTACAAAAAAGTTTGTATGAAATCTTTATTTATCGCGTATGATCTTAATTATTTCATTGAGATATCTATAGAAAATTTTCCTTTCAAATACTATTTACATAAAAAAATTTAATGTTTAACAAATAAAATTTATTCAAAATCTTTTAATTTGAAAAACTAAATAAGTAAAATTTTAGTATTGTAATGCAATTATTTTTAGTTGCTTCCCACAAGAATAATTAATAATTCTATTGCAATGAAAAAAGGAATACTTAAAAAAGAAGAAGAATTATATCTCTTTAAGTAACTATAAAAATTTTCAGTGATATATTCATTGTATCAAAAACAATTATAAGATAAAAATTTTTCTTATGTATATAAGAAATATTTATTTTCTTGAATTCAAAAACATATTCACTATAAAAGAATAATTTGGAACCACGCACAGAAAAAATTGCAATGCATTTGCCAAAATCGGAAAGATTGTGAAAAAGGTTTTTTAAACCTTTTTATACCCCGAATCGGAAACCAGCTGCAGATTATCTATGGACGGTAGGTGCTGAGCACAATCTGCGGTTAGCCCTACTCACGTAAACGCTGCCGGAGACCAAAGGCCTAACTCTTTACAACACATCACTTTACAAGAACTCGTCCAGATATCAAACAAACCCTACGGAACAAGAATCATTCGAAAACTGTATACTCCACTATCTATCATGCAAAAGATGCAAAAAATCACCAATGATAATTCGTATAAGAGATACCACATATACCTTGCTCGACATATACCTTGTACCACCAATAAAAATGCATTCAACGAATATAGTCACCTCTAATCATCTTACAGTGAAACACGAATAATATCGCCAGAGATGAGAATGTTAATTTTTTACGAAGGTAAACCTTATTACTTCACACGATGAGATCTATGTGCCACGATAAAAAAACCAAGATACTGATTGATCATTTAACTAATAATTGTGCAAAACTAATAGAATTCTACAACCGCTTATCGCCGTCGATTATCAACATTGTACAATATATCTATATGTAATTTAAAATTTTATGGAATTATTAATTAATTCTAAAGTAATTTTGGCTTATCGACGTATTGCTTGCCATGGTGGATAATAGTGGCGAAAGTGCCGGCTACCATAGCACCCCAGAATAACATATAAAGTAATATTTCCGTTGTGTATCGCGATGGTAATATTACATGAGCGACTAACATCGAGGATGCGACTAAAAGAACGAGCGGGAATGTAGCGTAACGCCAATTTCGCTCGGATTCCAAAGGACATTGAATGGAAGTGCATTCGCCGTCCTGTATAATATAGCGACCCAGAAAAAGCTCCATCGAATCCTATAACGTAAAGATTGTTACATCACCGAAAAAGAGATGTAAAAAAGTTTTCAAAATTCAACTGACCTGTCTGTATCCATCGGCGAAATTGTTCTTGTAATATCTCGTTAGCGAATTTAGACCATCTTTCATCGCGCCCAACTTAGTGCGTTTTCCAGTTCGCGTAAAATCCGTCTTCAACGCTCCTGTGCCGGAATATTGAATACTTATCACGTCCGCATTATCGGCCCAAACCTAAAGACATTAACAAAATTTTTTTTTTAATTGACTATATTATTTTTATTATTGCATAAGTGTATATATGTGTGTACTATGTATATATGTATATATCATTTATCTTCCATACTAAAACTTCATAATTAATATATATATTATAATTATTATATTTTAAATATAAATATTTTTTTTATGTTTTACTTGATCTTAAATGTTTCAGAAATTAAATTCCTGTTATTGCGCCTGAAAAAAATAATTTGATATTTACCTGTTTAAAAAGGTTTTCAAATGCGGGATGATCTTCCACTTTTCTAAGTATTTCTAGCCTGCTCAATACTTCATTGAGAACTCGCTTCGCCAGCATGCTTTGTACAACATTTGTTCGATCCAAGCAATCGATGCAATTCGTACGAAAAACGCCATCCTGAGCCGAAAGCAATGCTCCATCCCTCATTAACAGGAAATACCCCATCTGTTCCTGATCATGGGCTAATCGATCCAGTAAAGTGTTTAATTTATCCCACTTCAATCTTCTACATTCGGCATGAAAGTCAAAAGCCTCGTATCGAATATTTTGATTATTAATTCTTTGGACTAAATTGCGATATGCATTTTCAAGTAGTGCTTCTGGTCCACATTGATCGATCTGTTCAAAATATTAATAGCACAAAAAGTTTCATAAACAAATAAAATAATAGTTTTCATAATAAGACAACATTTTTTAAACAATTCTTGCTTAATATATTATTCAAAATTTTAATTATTTTTTATGTATATAAAATTTTTTATAATATTCAAATATTATTATATATTTCAAAAATTTTTTATAATATTCAAATATTATTATATGTCAAAAAAAAAAAAGAAAACTTACCAAATTCACTAAGATTTGCTTTCCATAGTGAAAGATCTGAACGTCAAAGTGCCGCGCACAAGCACTTTGATGGTCTTCATGTGGACTGATTTGTGGCTTTGGCTTGTACTTTAAATTTGGTGCTTGATACCAAAACAGAGGAATGGATCCGCGCGTTTGCACAAAAGAACTGCGATCGCCGTTTATTTCGATCAGCTGCTCCGTCTCCACATAATTGGAAACGTTGCCCGTGGCATCTATACCACGCGAAAATAGTCTCGTGCCAGCACGATGCACACTACGTCTAGAGACAATGCCCCAATTGAATGCGATACCGTTCACGACCACCGTATTCAGCGAAACGACTATATAAGTAAATTGTTAAGGTCATTACAAAAATTGCATACTACTTCACATCTGATATGAAAAATGATATGTAATGTCAAAGGATACAGCCATGAATGATGGGCAAACAGAATTTGTACTGCTCTGGTCTTGCACTTAAGTCCTGCAGGAGGTAGGCGTTCCATACAAACCTGGGATCTGCCCTGTCGTGAAGCGGCATCTAAATAAGAACATTTTATTCTAAAACTGTTTAGTACTATGCAAAACTGATAAAAATATATAATAATGTATTTACTTGCAAGAATTCAGGTGTTGTGTTATGCAGCCTCTGCATGGTATGACTGAGATCATAGGTGTAACTGAAGTAAAAGTATGGTGTATTCAAGACTGATTTCACCATCTCCAAATATGTGGCATTATTTTGCACTTGTTTTTCAGTCAAATGTAAAGACGATCTTGTATAAGGTATCACCTCTGTCGATGATATCTTGTAGATGTTATGCCCAGCTATAGTACCACACATTTGAGCATCCGTAATAACAATGAGATAACGACACGCCAAAAGGCGTATGGTCCCCACCAGTCCCCATATTTTTCTACGACTGGCAGTTGTTGGAATTTGACTAGCTGTACCAACTGAGAAAAGAAGCAAAAATATATCATTAACTTGTCGGACTAATTAAAAAAAACATATATCGGTGGCAAATTACCTTGCGTGTAGATTTGCTGACTCACTCTATCAACCACTAGCAGGACTTTGGTCCCGACCGGCTCCACAAAAAACTTCTCCGGAGTTGCGTACCTTGGCAAATAAAATTAAAAATTAATAATCAGTGTAAAAAAATTAAATTGGCAATAGGTCACAATAAATTAGATATAAATTAGGTATAAATTTTTTTATATTTTACATGAAATGACGAGGCGTAAATCTACCATAATAATATCTTACTCACAGATACAAAGTGTCATAAACGTCCGTGTTTGGCATCATATCGTCAAGTAACGAGTAAATCGGAGCACGTTAAATGGACAGACAGGTGAGCGACAAAATAATAAAATAATGCCGGAAAAATGAAATTACGATTTTCGGATGAAACGCGGCCCATATATACGCATATATATATATGTTTTAAGCACGAGAATTACTAATAAAAATCCGACTAAATGCAAATTAATTGTCGGCTTCTTATCAACTCCGACTTGACATGATCCAAGATATTCAAGACTGTCATGGACTATAAAGACTAGTCAAAATCAAAGTAACCTTATTGGCCAAATGCTACACCATAGACTATTTTTTCCTAGATCGGCCTCTAGATCTCTAAATTAAGGCTCTTTTACAATATCATAGGCAAAGTTTTTCGAACATACTGATTCGCTCTCGAATAGAGAATTATAAATTTTCCTAAGAAATTCCCTAAAAGCTTCGAGAAATTCTATCGAACGATCATTTGGCATGTTTGACAAATTTGGCGCCAAAAGATTGCAATAAAAGAGACTTGATATTTTATATACATACAGATATATTCTTTTCACACATACAAATACTATTCTTTTATTAATTATATTCTTCTTTTTTACTAATATTATCTAAAATATTTCAAATAAAAAGGAAACATTATTTGATTCCTCTATGGGGATAATGTTAAATTTATCAATTGCTAATTGTGCAAAATAAATAATTGTATGTCAGACGATAATCGAGCACTTTTTAATATATATCAAAAGTAATGATCTGTTTTTCTGAAATCATTATGCTTCATTATAAATCAAATAATGGCGTAAATTAATACTTTCTTCTTTTTAAGAATTTTATTGCTATTCTGTTTTTGTACTTACAACAAAACAAAAGTATATATTCTTATAATTTGAAACAGAAAAAAGGAAGACTACAAGAATGCATGTATAAAGATTGTAATTATAAGAATAATTAAAAAGAATGGAGACTTACAGAGTTGACTTTTACAATTGATCTAGCAGCTATCAACAGCAGTTATCATTTCCATCGTTTGGTTTACAATTTGCCATCGTGTATGTCTTTTCCGTTTGATTACGTACTTCCGGATCGCGTCTATATAGAAATATATAGATATATCATAAATATTGATCTAAAAAATATACTAAACTGTTCGTCTCTACGAGTTGCTAATAAAATTTAATATTACGCAACATGCTATTTAATATATATTGCCTTTTCGCAATGTTTGACCTCTAAATTAAACCTATCAAGCAACTATACCATTTAACAATGTTTCACTTCAATTAAACTTGATCAGATTTAATCTTAACTCGCCGATTCCTCTCGCATATTTACAATAGTCAAAATATCAAACATCTATCCTCTCACCCTTCTTTCCTGTACGAGAATTATCTGGAAGCGCAGACTTTAGACATGAAGTATACATGACGCAGTATATATACACGTCATTGGCGTCATCTTTTTCTCTTTCTTTCTCTCTCTCTCTCTCTCTCTCTCTCTCTCTCTCTCTCTCCCTCTCGCTCGCTCGCTCGCTCGCCCGCTCCCGCTTCGTGCATCGCACGTACGCGTGCGTCCGTAGTACGTACGTACGTTAAACAGTGCGTAGTTGAAAGCGTTATTTGTTTTTTGTTCTGACACAGTGCGACTTGCAAACTTGTGTTGTCGATCTATGTTGTGATTTCTCGAAAACGTCGTCGCTACATAATCCTGAGGGGCGTTACGCACCAATGTAAGATACGCTTCCATCGTGTATGCGTATATTCAGTTTTCTTTCCCTTTCTCTTTTTTTTTTGTCAGTATTTTTCGCGAGATCGCTACGCAGCAATTGTTAATTCATCGTCGATCGCCAAATCCTTGGATGAGCACTATATACGCTAATTGTCGATAACAATGTCGTTAATTAATTGTTTATTTACTCGTTGAAGTAAGTTTGCATTGCCAATAAAACATGTCATGGTCAAAGACAGATTGCCCGTAAACGTAAATAAAAGATCTTTGCAATTGCGATTGTTATTATGTAAAGATGATGTACAAACGACGCCGTTTATATTAAATATTTTCTGTTGCTTTTTCAGCTAGTAATTTTTTCTTAAAAAAATGTTCTTTATAGCACTCAGTATTGTTCTAATATAAAATAATTTTTAGATTTATTATCACAATATAAATTTAGATATGTTACTAGAGATATAATAAAGAAACTTTAGTAGTTGTAAAATTTCCTCTTGTTTACAGGTTGTAACTGGATTATGCACCAGCTTTCACTGAACATTCTCGCTGCTTTTCAGTTTGTAAATGCTACAACATGCCACCCAAACAGAGGAAAATAGCTATTATGGGCTATAGATCCGTAGGTAAAAACCGAATAATATATATTACACATTTTTATGGATATGTATAACTTGTGATTTCTACAATGAAACATAAGCACCAACAGTTGTTTTATTACATAATGTTTTACATTTATCAGGATGTTATGTTAATGATACCTGGATGTTGTGCAACGCTTTAATGCCATATATTTAATTTTTAATAGGTAAATCATCCCTTAGTATACAGTTTGTCGAGGGACAATTTGTGGACTCGTATGATCCTACAATAGAGAATAGTAAGAAATACTTTTATCTGTTTATTTTATAGTTCAACTTGTAATTTATAAAAATATAAATTGTGTTTCTTTAAATGATTGAATATTATACCAATATTTTTTTATATATTGTAGCGTTTACAAAAAGTACACGAGTAAATAGTCAAGATTATGAACTTAAATTAGTAGACACAGCTGGTCAAGATGAATATAGCATATTTCCTACTCAGTATTCCATGGACATCCACGGTTATGTCCTGGTATACAGCATAACCAGTGCGAAGAGTTTTGAAATTGTACAAATTATTTATGACAAACTACTTGACATCACTGGAAAGCTTCAGTAAGATATCTTGTTTCTCGAATGCTCACATATTTGCTCTCATTCAAACTATAATTATTAATTGTGATATCATTTGCAGCGTTCCAATTGTATTAGTGGGTAACAAAACGGATTTGTACGTTGATCGTATGATCACGACAGACCAAGGAAAGCGCTTAGCAAATTCCTGGAATGCAGCATTTCTAGAAACCAGTGCAAAACAAAATGAGGTATTTATGGATTTTTCATTCTTTTAAAGTAAACTGGATTTCTTATTAAATGCGATTTACATAGTCTGTTGCAGATATTTTTCACACATTGCTGATGGAGATCGAAAAAGCTAATGGAAATGTACAAGAAAAATCGAATTGCATTATTTGTTGAATTGCCTGAAATAATGGCATTAACAGAAATGTAAATGTGTAAAACGGTAAAAACATTGGCATTATATCTCTAATACCTTCCCACTGACGCAAATACAAAAATCTAAAAAACGTAAAAGCAAATGCAAATGTAACAATAGATAATATTATTTATATACATATAACCATAAAATATTTTATGGTTATTATGTTTATAAAATAATTGATAGTTTTTCATGTTCCGATTTAATGTTCCGATTATATAATTAAAGTGACAATCTAATATATCACTATTTTAATTTATGTTCTATTATGTTTAGTATAATCTTAAGTAAATTTAATATGTATTAGATTATATATATATTTATATTTATATATATAAGACAACAATCAATCAATTTAATTTTAAGTAAATCTATATAAATTTTTTTTTAATACACATTTAGATTGCAATATTTATATTAAATTACAGTTTACAAAAAAATTACACATTCAATCAAAGAATAATTAAAAGAGCTTCAATATAATAATTTTTACATGCATAATTTTTACTTGAATATACATATGTATAAAACGTGCTTCCGTTTATTATTATAATTATTATTATAATTTATTAATAATAAAACTATATTGATTCCATATTTTGTGTTACATATAAAGAATTGAAATTTGCCAATATAATATTCTCTAAATCTAAATGGTCATCAGAATTATCGACAACAAATACAGATCTGTCTTCTCAAAATATCACAAGATGGCATTACGTAATTCATCAAGCGCGATTGCTCTTCACATAGTTTTATGTTCTATGCATCGTGAATTTTCCGAGTGTACTTTTTTTAGAATCGGTTTGTCGTATATTTCACTTGGCTCGTGTGTTACGTTTCGCAAATTTCGTGACTGTGTCAAACGCAGATTAATCCAGTCAAAATGTTTAATCAAATATTGCGACCTATTGTTCGCAACATGGCCAGAAATGGTAAGATTTCCTCGTTTTAGATCTGTACTATTTCGTGTATTACACACACGGTTTAATCAATTATATATCAACCTTACATAATATCTGCTATTTCGTGTGAATTTCGTTAAATGTTAGTCTGTAACAAATGTGCAGCAATAATAAACAATTTAATTATCCACAAAATTAGTCTTTAATTATAGATTTATCCATCAATTTGCTGTCAATTATTTCTTCAAATTTTTAGAGCAGCTAAATTTTCGATTGCAAGAGATTGATAATGGCATAAAATTGCAATTAATATAAAATCATATAATTAATTAGCAAACTATTCTTTGGTTTAATTTTAATACTTTATTTTTTTAAGACTGATTTTCAAAGTTATATCATTTACATATTTAATATATTGATATTTTGTAAAAATAGTTCCAAATTTATCAAAGATATCGTTTAAATTGAAATTAGGTTATTGATTATTTTATATTTACAAGCCTAACGATATTATCAAAGGTAGAAATATATATATTTATAAATACTAAAAAAATTAATACAAATTTATATATTTTTTATATAAAGGTAATTTTTTATGTGAAGGTACTCGTTGTGCCAGCTCAAAAGTGATAGATGTTAAATTGCCATCATTTGATGAAATACCTGTACCACAGGGCTCGTGGAAAGAGCACTATGATGCAAGACAGAAAGTTTACAATACTCAATTAATTGCTGGTGTTTCTGTACTAGTTGGTACTATAGCTTTTGTATGTATTCATTTTTTCAAATAATATCTTGAATTATAAACTCTCATAATATAATTTCATATTTCTCAATTATACATATATTATAATAGAATTTTGTTATATTTTCAATTTTTTTCTTTAATACTTTTTATAGATTATAAATTTAAAGAGTCTATGCACCATATATAGAATTTTTATATTTTATTTTCAGATAAAACTATCAGGCATTATATTCTTTAATTTTGGACCACCTGAAGAACCTGCTGAAGAGAAATAAACATTCACACAAAATATTAGCTAATTAAAATAGATATAAAAGCAACTGGCTACATATAACTGTTGAGAATATTATGTACTTTATTGTGTGAGTGTAACATGCAATACCTTGTACTCTCCTCAATAAATAGTTCATATTTATAATGGGTATATAATCAGTACACAAGATATATATTTATCTTATGGGTCTACTCTGGTTTAACAAAACATATTTACTTTATCCATAAATTGCATAAATGAGACAATTCCATCTAAAAAAAGCTTGTATCTCTAAAGTGTATATTTAAATATATTCAATAATAATATATTGCAACAAATAAATTAAATTTTCCATTTCAGAATTCTGCAATATTAAATTATATTTTGTTATTCAATTATTAAACAAATTTTAACATGTACATATGTATATATTTTGGTTATATATATATACATAATTTTTCTTTACGTTGTTTGCTTTTGTTATAATAATTATATTAATAGCTAAGTTCAATTAAATAGCATTTTTATTTTAATACCGTCTGTTAGTTTAATGAGAACGCGCTATTTCTGAAAAGAATTCTAAAATATCTTGAATGGTAAACTCTAGTGTCACATTACTATCTGGATAACAACGTTGTATGAGCTCTTCAATATTCCTGTATTGAAAAAATAATTTTTATGTTTATAAGAAAAACATTTACAATGATTATCATCAAACTGTGAGCAATCTCTTCTATATTTTACCTGTAATAAATTTTCCTCTTCGCACAGATGCTTCTCAACTTTCCGATATAGATTCTCCAGACCTTTTTTAACTTCTCTCGCGGGATATTCCTTCACTACGCGCCGCAACTCTTGTTTACTGAAGGCCATTTGATAACTGACTTCAGATTCTTTCACACCAGCACCTACCTTGGCTTGTACACCCTCGAAGAAAAGCTAAGAAGTTAACATATTTTTAATTAATATATCCTAACATTTGTATATGTCTTAACGATTGCAAAAATAATTTTAGTAATTTACATTAAGTTTCTCAAGAGGTCGTCCAAAGTATTGTGTAACATAAGCACGAAGTGCATCCTGATATTTCTGTTTGGCTTCCTTCCGTTCGTGATCCAATACAGAAATTTTTAATTGCGAGAGGAGATCATAAAGATGATGGAAATTCTCTACAAAATATAGCAAAAGAGAGTATTATATTAATTATTATAAGCAGCAAAAAAGAGTAAATATTTTTAGTGATCGGAATTATGGATAGCAATTTTATAATTAATTATTGAAATATTTTTTACCCATCTTTATAACTTCTTGTGGCGTCTTGTGATGTTCTCGGCTGTGATTGACGATAGCTTCGAACATAGTGCTCACGAGTTTCGTATACCACTTTTCAAGATCGACCTTCCTGTCGGAGTTGCGGAAAATCTTCTCCGCGGTTCTTGCAAATGGCCCGAAGTTTTCTATGTACGGCAATATACCGCATTTGTGCCGACGATTGACTTTCGTGTCGTGTAATATGGATTGTAGCTGTGCCTGCATAAACTTATCGAATGCTCGTTTCACGTGAATCAAAGCGGACGCGAACGTCATCGACAAAAACGAGCCTGTGTCTTGAGCAGACATGACATGCTGCGACAAGCGCACTAGCACATACATACACCAGCTGTAAACAACAAAATTATAAAAAAATGGTTGTATAAAGCCATTCAGTAAAAATTCCAAATAATTTCATGAATAGAAAAATTATTCTTTCAAGCATACTCACAAACTGTCGATCTTGTCCAGAAAGCCAATAAAATTGTTCAATTCAGTTTCCAACGACGGAAATATCGCAGCCATAGTCGCACGCACATCCTCGTTCACCTGCCGCTCCAATCTTTTACTCGCCGTCGAAGTCACCGATCCTGGACTCGCTGCGCCGTTACTCGTGTTTTCTATTTCCTCCATCTCGCTGCTCTAATAAACAAACGCATTGAAGAAACTAGAACAGGAATTTATTGGTATACTTACTTTGGAAGGCGAAAGAACAGAATCCAATTGAAGAAATGAAACGCAGAATCCTTGCTCGGCGAGACACACCGGCTGCATCTGCGAGAGTACACAATCGAGGATCGAATCCAGAAGATTACCTTCGTCCACTGGAGTCCATACTTCGCCACTCAGCAAACAGATAGGCGCCGGATTGAGCAGATCCTCACCTTTCTGACCGCTAGACTTTGATGTATTTACTTAAAACATATTTTTTTACTCATATATAAAATTTATAAAAATGCGCGCGCAATAAAAAATTAGGCAGTAGAGCACCGGTTCGTTCTCAAATAATTTATTCATTTAAATTTTCACATATTTATTGTCGTTTATTTATTGATCGGAGCTCTATTGTAAAAATTATTCTGTTGTTATACCTTGTAGACGTTTGTTAATAAGCTTATTCTTGGCCTCCTCAAAGAAGCGTTTTAGATCCCTCTTATACAGTTTGCTCATGGTATCAGTATATACTTTGGTTAACAGCACAAAAGCTTTATTATCTAATGCTCTAAGCAACTGCATTAATTCAGTGTATGGTACGAGCTCATTATGAACTCCTTGATGAGTCGGTAAAATTAGATCTGTCATGGAAGTCGACGCATCTCCAATATCATTACCCTAAAATACAATTAAGAAATTGAAACAAAAGATTCTTATTTTAATTAGATTTAATTTAAGTATTATCAAAAGAAATATCAAATGTTGAAAAATTAAGTAATTACCAAGTGTATAAAAAGATTATTTAAATGTCTAGCAACAATAACTGAGAATTTCGCTTTAAGCTTGTCCAACCGTCTTTTCTGTTCAGTGACAGCACTCAACTTGTCCAAACCAGGCGGAAGAGGTGCTGTGATTGCTTTTAAAAGCGCTGTACCTGCAAGACCAAGCTCTTCTCTTTCCCCTGGCAGTTCAGCTTCATTTAAAGTACGTTGATGTGTTGGAGAAATATCTAATTGCGACTTGAAAAAAGAAAATTATATATTGTAGTAAAAAAAAAAAAGAATTTATTTAATTATATATAATCCTTGTTTACTTACAATGACTAGATTAAGCTGATCTAATAAAAGTCTTGCATTATTATTCGCTGTATGTATAGCCTGATTCTTCTGTCCAACTCGAGCCATTACTTCTCTTATTCTTCCTAACGCTTCGTCGTACGTCGCTAATCGTGCTTCTACAATAGAAGCTTCGATTATTGCAGCATCAATACTGTTCATCAACTGTGTTACCCTCTGCTCTGATGCTAAGACGGAGTATACATTTTCCTATATAAAGATAGAATAAAATTAGTTCTATAAATTTTTTATATTTGTCATAGGAAAATTTATTATTTTACTCCATCAAGAATGGATAGATCCTTTGAAAGAGTTTCCATAAAAAGCTCAGCATTGGAAACAGCGTTATCACAATTCTCCATCATTTGCTTTAAGTCAGCAGCCTCCTTTTCAGTGATAGATTGATAATCTGAAGTAATAGGTGATGCCAAAAGATCTGAAATTATTACATTATTATGCAAAAGCATGAAAAATTTAAAAATATATAGATTTTTATATGCACATTAAAAAAAAAAGTTATGTTAGCAATTTGTCTGCTTAAATTAAATAACAAACATATACCAGGTGTAAATGTGATGCTGTCACTCTCTTTTAACGCAATTGGATCAATCAACCACTCTTTCGGAATATTTTTGAATTCTGGCCTCTGAGCTAAACTACATGAATAAGTATACAGATTACTGATAAATGTTCGCCTTTCCTGTACCGTAGTGGATGACCATTTGTAGACTTTATCAATATGCAGCTCTATATCCATAGAATCATTTTTAACACCATCTACAATTTGTATATCACTCAGAGGCCATGATTGTTTCTTTTTATAAACATTTTTGTCATTCTTCTTTATTTGGTACAATATAAGAGATCCTGGCGTATCTGTCGTTGTAGCCAAGCACAAAAAGCTCATCTTCTTCTTCTTATAAGCTTTGCTGACATAGCATACACTGAGTAGCTTTTCATCACTAGGAGTAAACACTTCCCTTTGCAAAGTATGTCGAATAGCTGCCATGGCTTAATCTATTGTATTCTTTTCTCCTATTCCTTGTTATTACTTAAATGTTGCATCTTCTATTTTACAAAACCCTAATTATTAAAATTAACACAATCAGAAGTATTAATAATATATAAGAAATAAGGTTATATCTGATAGAAAAAATATATTTCACTAGTATCCATGGAATAAAACTTACACAAGCATTGTTAAAATTCTTTGCATCAAGCGAATGTTACTTTTCTCGTCGTGATAAATTGAGTTATATCGTAAATAAATTATCAAAACTTTTATGTTTACAAGATTAGTGGATCTGTGATCTGTCATAAGAAGAGGGCGTTAGTTCGACTAATGCTACAGATGACCAGTTGACCAGATGATGATATAAAAAATGGACTATGATTATCATGCATCGATATAACAAATATATGTTATATTTTTGCATTGACAATATAAGAATGAGTCAGATATTGATAGATGTGTATTCAAACTTTGAAGGAAAAGTGTAAATGTAACAGGCACCTGTTCTCTTACATCTTACATTACTACAATTTTTTATATTATATGTATATATAGAACGTCAATTCTCTCTACGCAAGTTGAGAGGAATAATATATCAGAGATAAGCCAGACTTTTTTTGATAGCACACACAGAGTTACGTATTAACAATGCGATAAGAATGAAACTCACGTGGTCCATTATTGCTCAATATTACAGGTAAGAAATTGATAACAAAACAAATTTTAGATAAAAATATATATGCATGCATGAAATAAAAAGTAAAGAAAAAAATGTGTAAAAAATAGCTCTATCTCTGCTTTATTTTGCTATACCTGAAGAAGTTTCTTCTCATTATTTAGTGTACCATCTCTTTTTACTGCACTTAAAAATAACAAAATTACTACATTTCAGCATACAGTGCGCCAAGCGTTGTATTAGCACAATGACACATCCATTAGTTGCAGTATGTCAAATGCGATCAATAGCTGACAAAATGAAAAATTTGGAAATTGTAACTGAATTAGCAGCTGAAGCTAAACGCAGATCAGCTGTAGTATGTATATTTATCAATAAATAAGATTAAATATTCTATATCATATAATGATAATCTCTTCCAGATTTTAAAAATATAAAATATTTATAGATAGCATTCTTCCCTGAAGCTTGCGATTACTTGGCAGATAACAAGAAGGATATCGTCGCTATGGCTGAACCTTTGACTGGACAGACAGTGGCATCTTATAAAGAGATTGCTGTTAAAAATGACATTTGGTTATCCTTAGGTGGAATTCATGAAGCTGTAATACTTGAGTTGCTGTTTATATTAATTTTTATATACAGAGGAAAAAGATAACTTTTTTTTTAATAATATACAAGAGATTTTTCTCTAATTATTTTAGTCAGATACAGAAAAGATATACAATACACATATATTAATAAATAATGTGGGAGAATTGGTAGCTGCATACAGAAAAATACACTTGTTTGACATGGATAATAAGGATACCGGGGTACGTTTGATGGAATCGGATTATGTACTGAAAGGAACCCAAATTGTGCCCCCTGTATTTACACCAATTGGCAAACTCGCACTGAGCATTGTATCCTTAAAACAAATTTTCTTTTCTGATACAAAACATTGATACAAAATATTGATGCTTAACAACGATATAAGTGTTACGATATGCGATTTCCCGAGTTATCGTTAACTTTGCGGAACATGGGAGCGCAAATTCTCACTTATCCGTCGGCGTTCACATATCAAACTGGTGCCGCGCATTGGGAGGTGATGTTGCGAGCACGAGCTATAGAGAATCAGTGTTACGTTATAGCCGCGGCACAAACTGGCGCGCACAATAAAAAGAGAGTCAGCTGGGGTCATGCCATGGTGAATATATATATGCTTTCTCTTAATAGGATTAACAACATTCACAACATAAAGTTACAATCGGAATTCATTTTTTTTTTTTCAGATTGTAGATCCTTGGGGTGCTGTTATAACACAGTGTGCAGAAAAAACGAGTATTGCTGTAGCAGAAATTGATCTCACGCTATTGGAGAAAATCAGACAAAATATGCCGTGTGAAAAACACCGCCGTACTGATTTATACTCCAATATGGAAAGTTAAAAGTCTATTTAATATGAGCAGAAGAACTTAGTAGATAAGTAGATAACTAAGTAGATAAGCAATTAGTGTAATTAATGGGTCTAATTATATAATGGATATATTAATTTTGATATATAAGATTTATAAATATTCAGCAATCACAAATCTAAAGTAAAATAGCATTGTTGTTATTAATTTTATATTTGAGATTGTTTTATCACAATTTCTTAAAATTAGAGTACATTGTTATTGTACTTTATCATTTTATTTATTAAAAAAAAGATAATATATATATTATACCTCAAACACATAAATACTGAGAAAATTATTATTTAACATATAAATAAATAAAATTATTCTGGTATTTATGTGAAAAATAATTTTATTACTAAACCTCAATTTGCTTTGCCTTGATGATATATATTGTCAACTGTATCTGATTTCGATTGGATACCCATGAATTCGACATCTACTCCCTGTAGAGCCCAGTTATGTTCACAAATTTCTAATGCCTCCCATTCAGATTTGAAAGCTGCTTTTGGATCAGGTGGCATGGACATTGCAGCACCCGAAACTTGATCTTGTACTAATCTCGTAGTATCCGCAGCATTATTTTCACCAAGCACAAGTGTATAAATAGATCTTAGTCCAAATACATTGAGGAAATACCACGAAGCTGAAGAAACCCACGCTGCATCCAATGTAACTAATTCTATACCCCGTTGCAACATTGGCTTGAACCGTAGCGTTAATGGAAATGGTACTTTAGCTAAAATAAAAAAAATATATATTTCTAATATATAATTTATACATACATAAAGTCTTGTTAACAAACTATAATATTAAATATGCAATGAGTAAATGCAAATATTCAACAATATTGAAATAATACATACTTGTTACAAATCCAGAAAACATCCAATTAATCCAACCACCAATCAGTACCATAGGCAATACATTGGTCACATTTCCTTTTAGCATATCAGTCATCATATTTGGATCGGTCATAGGATTTTGGGAGACAGGAGCACGCTTTTGAGTCTTGAAATACCCAGTCTCTTCATTATTGAAAAAATGTCTCCTAGTCATAAAAGCTACTTTTGGTATATATTGTCCATTCTCTCTGAGTAGTCTGGAGCGTATCATGACTTGACTGTAAAATATTTAATATTGTAATTGAATAATAGCCTCGTGAAGAGAACTCTTAAACGCGCGCGTATCCATATAATTGTCTAGATAAAATATTTACCTATCTTGCACTTGATGAAGCTCGACCTTTTTCTGCGAAGCGAGCAGTATCGAAACATAGTGACGGATTATACCGACGAGAAAAGTGATCACTACTATAGGTAAAAATACCCAGCCTCGAATATTCGGATCCAACAATAATTCTGCCATTGTTTCTATCGCATAAATCTATTTGCGAAAATGAAAACAAGATACAGGACGACGTGGAGTGAATCTCATCGCTGCTCCGCGATCCTTTACCACACATGCGCCGACCAAGATTACATTCGTTTAATACAACCATAGATCTATAAATAATAATAGATCTCCCAATCACATGCCCGGTGTGCCTAGGGTTTTTTACTAGATTGACCAATCAGGAGTTTTCAATCGAATGTCACCCAGCTATCTAATGATACGAATTGAATGGAGGCAGTCTATGCTTCCTCTATGTTTGTGACTATGATTCGCGATAAATTTTAAAATATATGGCGGTAATTTTGTGACAAAAAGATCGTTCACTCGAGTGTCGCTCACAATTGGTATTCTTTGTGTCGAAAATCGAGCGAGATTAAATAACGTTATGATCTACTTATTAAACATCGAAGTGAAATTGTTATGTAGCAACAAGCGATCGCGTGTATTTCGCGTGATTTATTCGTGTATCGCGAGTGTAGTGAACATCGGGAATATGATGTAAGAAGCGCGGCTGTGTTGCATTAATTCGCAAGTGAAGAAATATGCAAGCAGAGGAAGTAACAGGATGGCAGTAACAATACATTGGCCGATGTATTATTTTTGGAGTAATCAACGGCAGTGTAACAAGTGTCAACGTATCGCCCATTAGAAGACAATTGCGAACTCTGTTAAATAGCTCTATTATTTTTATTCAAGTTTTCCATTTACGGAAAACAAGTTAGATAGGAGCAGTCTATATTTTCCATGCTTTGGCTCAACCTAAGGAGTTTAGGAAATTGAGAAAAGAATTTTATTAGTGAATACAATTTATATCTACCGATGCTAAATTCAAATTAGCGAGCGGTCTCGCGTCATGTTTGCGAGAGGGTGCTGTCATTGCGCACAGTGGTCGCGAGAAAGAGAGAGAGAGAGAGAGAGAGAGAGAGATCTCCGCCGGTTTCGCTCCCCCACGCTTCCTCGTTCATCGTCAGCGCGTTGGCTTGCGCCGCTTGCGCGTGATGTGATTCAGTTTCTCTCACAGTTTCCCTGACGCACCATTACTGACCGTTACGAGGTGAGGAGGTAATCCGCCGTGCGAGAGCTCGTCCGATCCGCCAGTATTCCGTCAAAGTGCCCCGTCGTCGCGCCTATACGCGGCGCGGTGATAAATTTCGCAGGAACGCGTACACGGGATACGGCGGGTCTTCGTGCGCGAGTAATGATCGAGTGAGCCGCCCGCGATCACCGACAACGCACACCCGCGACGACGCATCTCGGGACCTGTGCATCATGGGCCTTTGAGAGGGCGGTATCGAGGAAACGGTGCTCTCCCGAGAAGGGAGAGGATCGCCGTACAGGGACGAGGACGACGATCGGGCATAGGAAGGGCAGGGTCAGCGAAAGAAGAGGGTGGCCGCTACCCAACACCGGGAAAGGCGAATTCGAAGACTCGCCGACTCGCGCATACCCGTCCAACCGGCTATCACGACCGCCATGTTATCCCGGAACAGCCGCAGCGGTGTTACGTCGGGCGCGCGGTCGCTGGCGCCGCTGCTCTTCTGTATCCTCGTGCTCGGCGCGGCCGGCCTCGATGAATCCGGTGAGTCAGTCAGACGGTGTATGTCTTTTCTGAATAAGAAAAGGGCGGAGGAAAGCGATAGGAAGCGGATCATCAGCCGGAATGCGGTTCACTCCGTCAGACGCGTCTTAGAGATGGAATTTTCGAAATTGTTGCTTGCATGTTTCTTTTTTGCGTTGGTGGTTGTACCGAAAATTCGAATGGGCTATACTCTCATTCACGTCTACGTTCGAATTTTCTTTTATGTATTGTCTCATGATCGAGTCGGATGTAGGGAAGAGAAAGGGAAGAAAAAATGTAGGCATGTATGAAAGGGTGATGTTAAAAAGTGATAGTATATTTGTAATTGTTTGTAATAATAATAATTTTATCTGTAGTCAGTCATAAAAAAATATAGTTTGAAAAAAATGTCATTTAATTTTAAGATAAAAATAATTGTCAATATACGATGATATCTTGACTTAAAATCATTTTAGAATTGTTTATAATAATTTTTCTTTTGTTTGTATGTAGCGTCGTTTAAAAGTTACATTTGCAATCGACGAAAAACACAACTTTATCAATATTTTGAAAATACTTTAAATCTATTTACGCCATGTTTTTTTTAAGAATCGTTTTTAATAATTCTAAAAACATAGCACACAAGCGCAAATTTTAAATTACTATTACAAATTAAAAACTATTATTAATATACAATAATATATAATTTTACCAACGTGCCGATTCATTAATTCCAGCTAACATTAACATTTATCTCGGCATCGAAACCGAGCGTACTCATCGTTATTTAGCGTCCGATTCAATCGCAACTTGCTTTTCGCGTAACGTTGACAATTAGGTTGACCGAAATTATAATCGATCCACCCAATGATATGCGTGGTTTTCCGCGTCAATGATATGTCAGGTAGTCATCGCAAAATTCTTTCGCCGGCCGCTTCCGCTGTTCCCGCGTTGGCCGTTGTCACTGTTTTCCGTTTCCGAAATGCGGGTGCTACAAAGCAGCATGTCGCGTTGACGTTTATCTATCTCGGTTCGTTGGACTGTTCGGATCCATTACTGCTTCATCATCAGATATTGCAATACTTTAAAAACATTTTATATATGTTATAATACGAGAGAAAGTCATTAAGGATGTCACAAATAATTATTGAAAAAAAAGTAAAGAGATTTCGTATTATATATATATATATA